CAGGGTTGAAACCGCGCGGTTTTTCAACCTCTGGTCTCGTCCTCAGGGACCCTGGAGAGTTCCTTAATTTGCATGTTTCTTCCTGAATTCTAGCAAGAAAAAGTGAAAAACGGTTCCTCTGTCCCTTTATATAGGCTCTTCCTACTTCCGGCGCATGCGATGCTATTCTAACAAACAGGGTTTTACAAAACCTATTTTTAATAGCGAAAACCACAATTTTCAAAATTTTTATGTGTGTGCAGTCGATTCGGGACCCTTCTTTACCTATTCGCGCTTCTTCCCTATCGAAAAAACCCTTTCCCGAGGCTGTAGGAGCGGAACATCCTAACGGAAGTGCATGCAAATATACACACACACACACACAGACACTATTTTTTTATATATAGTAGGATAGTAGGATAGTAGGATGGCGAAATAGGGTGTGATAAACGCTACAAATTTTAGTTTTAGTTTTTGTTTTTAGGAATTCCGATGCGGGCTAAGCAAAATTACCGTGACGCCGAGATTTTTGTGCGTAAATGGGTATGGCGTTGAACTTCGAAGGCGCAGTGAATTTTGCGTCGTGGAGCGGCTCGGCGTCTTGCTCACGTTTGGGTTTTTTTTTGATAAATCAAAATTTTTCGCGGTAATTCCATCTTCGTAACCAGCTTTCTTTATGTTTTAACATTTCCTCTTTTTGGTATCAGTGATAGGCAAGCTACACGGATGTGAATATGGAAAATACCTGATCCGGAAAACTTGAAAACCAACATTTTTTGCCAGACAACACTCGCGTCAATTAGCAGGCGCTGACAACCCCCGGTACACAACCATTGGGCCCAATAAAAACTCACGGGTCTGGCTAAGCTTATCGCAGACGGCGTGGGCTTATCACAGGGTGGCTGCCCATGTGGCTGGGGGCCCAGGCAGACAAACAACCCTGAGGGGCCAATGAAACTTTATTCCAGTAAAAAGCGTCATGAATTGGAAATATGAAGGCGACACTTCTTTGTAATTTTTCCCAGTTTACACTTCCTCGGATAGGAGCCCGTTGGACAGGTGCGAGAGGTTGACGTGCTTCGGGGCGGCTTGTCTGAAAAGATAGTACTTTTTTTAAACGGTTTTTACAGGCCTAAGTTAAGAATCCTAACGTAAAAACTACAAATTCAAAGATCTAACCATTTTTAAGATTTTGAAATAGTTCTATAGTTGAAATATAACTAACTCGATGCAAAGCACGTCCAAAAGACCTTGTATTACCTCAATAGGCAAATCTTGGTTAATAGAATATGATTTATAGGCTTTTTGAAGCAGCGTACTGCTTCAGCAGGTGTAACGATCCTCGTCGCCACTGTCCGTCTTCAACAGGAAGGCCATCGTCACGAGGATGGTCAGGCCGAAGATGGCGGCCAGGGAGACGAGCAGCGTGGCGAGGATGTCGTACTAAAGCCCACTCTGCTTGAATTTGCTTGGCATCCGCTCGGAAAAAGCCGGCCGCAACCAAATAGGCCTCAAAACCCAACTTTTCGGACGTAATTTTGTGCGCTCGATTACGAAAAACCTATCGCGAGTCGTGAAAAAGGCAAATTTCACGATTCGGGAGACCTTTACGGGATCAGCTTTCAAAATACGCCAGAAAAGGTCGAAAAACGCTTGATGTAAATAGCGCTCAAAAACCTACAGTTTCTCGTTTCGTGGCCAGCCACTCGTTTGCGGATTCGGCGAAGAAAGCTGAACAAAAAAAAATGGATTTTTCGTCGAATTTCAAAAACTTACGCTTTAAAAAGACGCCGACCCGGACGCACGGGTCGATGAGGTCGACGCGGATTCGATGCGGGACAGGTTGCTTAGAATATATTTAAAAGAGTAACTAAGTTCTGCCCACAAATTGGACCCGGCTACTGAAATTGCCGAAGAACGGCCGCTGGGAGACCGGCTTGCTAAAATGAGGTGTGTTTAGGGTTAGAAAAAAAGCAATAAAAATGTCGAATAACCAGAAGAACCAGGCTTAGGCTTAGGCTTATGCTTACGCTCACCAGATCTCCTTTGTTGCGTAACCCTTCTCGTCGAGAATCTGCACGTTGACGCACAGGTTTTTGGCTGCAAACTGGAGATGATCTTTCGGAAAAATGACGCCCCACCCATGCAGCGGGCGCTGTTCACGCGGAACGCAAAAATGTAGGCGGTGGAGGGGCGATCGGGGCGTAGAACTAGCCGATGCACCGAGTATAGCCTACAGTAATGTACGGTAGTAAGGTAAGCTTGTTAGTAATATAACCTGGCGCCGAGGTGGTAGTGCGCGTCGAGCGGCTTCTTCTTGAAGACGTACAGCTTGTGAAGGTCGAGCACTTCCAGTGTCTCCCATGACAGGCTGCTGGATGCGGTCAGGTTGGTGCAGAGGGCTGAAGCGGAAATGACGTGTTTTTCGGGAGATTCTCAACAATCAAAGCGTTTTTCGGGCAGCAGCACGACCACCGGGGCCGTTTCCGTAAAGTCGCCGGCCAGCGTTGCTGAAAATCTGTATAATGGCTTAGCCTTAGGCTTAGGCTTAGACTTGGTGTAGGCTTGGCTTAAGCTTAGGCTTGGCTTAGGCTTAGGCTTGGCTTAGGCTTAGGCTTGGCTTAGGCTTGGCTTAGGCTTGGCTTAGGCTTAGGCTTTAGGCTTAGGCTTGGCTTAGGCTTGGCTTAGGCTTGGCTTAGGCTTAGGCTTGGCTTAGGCTTAGGCAAGCAGAAAGCAGACACCTTTTAGTTTCTCGACCGGCACTGGGTAGCTCAAATCGAGCATGCGAAGCTCTGATTGGTCGACGGCATGTCTGAAAAAGGATAGAAAAAGTAAAGTGATTTAAAAAGTCTTACGTCGATTTCCGTAGCGATACTACTTCCGTGTAGTAGCCCGTATCATCGCGCGACAATTCAGATATCTAAAATAGCAAAAATGGTTCTTTTTTCCAGCATTTTTGCGTATAGAAACTAGGATATAACTAAAAAGCCAATATTTCCCGCTTTCTATTAATGCACGGGCGAAGGTAGGCTAGCAGAGATTGTTGTGGAAACAACAAGATCCCCAAGAAATACCTGAAAAACGCATGGATAGCGCGCGGAGCCCGGGCGACGGCCCTCGGCCACAAAGAGCCTCGAGTACATGGTCGTGCCGAGATTTGCCGTGTACGTGCGAAAGCTGCAGTTTTCTGCATTTCGTGGTTTTGTATAGTTTAATATTTTGAATTACTGTCGCTCCGAGGTCTTGGGACGACGTCACCGTTTCCGGGCGGTGGCGTGATCTAGAATTCTT